AAAATATCGAACTATTTAAAAAATGTATGTATTTTTTAAAAAATAAGATTTTATTAATAATAAAGGAATTTATAATTAATTAATTAAATTATTTAATTAAATTAAGTAATTTAATTAATTATTCTAATTATATAATAATAATGCTAATAATAATTATTATTGTCATTTCATTATAATTATTTAATTTAGTTATTTTATTCTTACTATTGTTAATTTAATTGTTTACATTGTTTAATGAACAGTAATTATTATTTCTTAAATTATAATAGTGCGGTAACTTGGCGAGAAAAAAAGATAAAGAAGGAAGGGGTAGCACAAGCGTGTTTGAAGCAATTGGCGCCGATCGGCCGATAATATAATTTTTCGACTTGTCGGTGCGTTACAACTTCAGTTTTGACTGAAATTGAAATCAAACCGAAATTCTAATTTTTGACCGAAACTGATCAAAACCGAAATTTCGGTCAGACTTTAATCATAACCTATATAAAATGCTTACGGATTACAAAAGGCTTAATAATAGTTATTTGGTGATACACAAGTGTAGAGAAATAGTAAAAAATGATACATAGCAAAATACAAGTACTTAATTCTTACATTCTTTGTTCAGCTTGATGTCTTGTATATCCCACCTATTTGGGATATATTGCATTTTTAGCGAAGTTTACAATATGTTTCGAAAACATAAAGTGCACAGATTCAATTCAGTGCATTAAATGCAACAAATATAAATACATTACACGAAACATATTTCGTATCATATTGAATTGAGTTGAGATCGACTTTTAAAAATTATCAATTGCTTTTAATTTACGATCTGTTGACATTGACTCGCGTTAACTGATATACATTAAAACGTGTGTTTCTCAATGTATTTCTATTAGTTTGCTAATTTTATTATTGCATCAACTAAAATTTCCCGATGTTTTGATAAATTTCATCTGAAACACGAATTATCCATCTAAATGAAAAAATTCATTTGGACGTCATAATTTATTTGTGTTAATTTATGACCAGTCGGTACAGGTGCTCGTTTTATTCACGCCCACGACTCTTTTCGTTCTCTCTCATTCAAACTATCCGTACGCGCCTAATGAAATATAATTTGTCGTCGTCGGAGAGTTTCACGTCCGCCAGTTATAAATAACGAAAACGCTTTATCGTGGAATATTAAATCATTATGCACTCTCGTTTTTCCTCTCTTACTCCTCCATCTTACGAGTAGTATTTTGCCGCGCGATAATTTGTCGTAGTAACGATAAATTTCCCGAATTTTTCGGCGCTGGTGAACTGATCTCAGGGTTGGGAAGTAAACGCGTTACTTTTGTAAAGCCATTACTGTTTTCGTTACTTTTTTTCTGTCTGTAACAGTAACGTAGTAACATTTTTATAGTAACGGTAAATTTAGTCGTTATTTTAGTTTCCTATTTTTATGTGTATTCAATAGATCGCGCACTGATTGTGCGCTGATCGCGTGCATTCTGGAAACTTAGTCACTATCTGACTCGACAATCGTGAACATATTCTAACATGTCGCTCTTCATACAGTGCGCGATGGCCGTGAGCTTGAAGTGTTGTTATATGCTATGTGTTGCGTTATTTCTTGATTTTTGAAATGTTTCTCGATTTCAATTTGTGTTACATCAATATACATATATAAATAACTAAACGTGCGTTATTAATAGTCATATGTATCTTGAAGCCAGTGGATAAATTATCTGTTCACATCGTCGGACAGAAATCACAGTGATTCAATCTGTGTAAGAATCAATTAAGATGTGTGTGGTATACACAACACTATCACACACAATCAGGGAATGGAAAGTTACTTTTTAAAAGTAACTAGTTACAGTTACTCGTTACCGAGTAAAAAATGTAACTAGTTACAGTTACAGTTATCGCTTTTTAAAAGTAACTCGTTACAGTTACCGTTACTTGAAAAATAACTTTTCGTTACTTTTCCGTTACTTTTTTAAAATTAATTTAAAAATGTACTTTTGCATTTTTTTTTTATATGTAATACTGACAAATATATAGTTTTATTTAAAAAAAAAAAAAATGTAGAATGGCTCAAATAATAAATTAAATAAAAGTAAAATGAGAAGGGTTACGAGCCAAAAATGAAACAGTTTATTTCCGATAAGAACGACGATGACAATGTAATTAAATGTATAAATATATATTAGAACAATACATAGATAAAACAAGATAAAAACAAACGACGTTTCGACACTTATTGTCATCGTCTTTTAAACTGTTTCGCTTTTGGGTTCATAGCCCTTCTCATTTTACTATTATTTAATTTATTTTTTAATTTTTTTTAAACACAATTTTGTAATTCTAAAACCTGTAAAATATGCAGCAAATTGAAATATTTGTATGTCCTATGTATTACATAGAAGATAGAAGTGTAAAATAATTACTGAATCATAACGGCCGAATGTCTAAGGGCTTTCAAGTCTTATTGATAAGCGCTATAAATAGCATGTATCCAATCGAACCGTGTTCAATCGTGTGCAAAGTAACGACAAAAGTAACTGTAAATTTCGTTACCGTTACCCAAAAAATGTAACTCGTTACCGTTACAGTTACCAAAAAAAGAAAGTAACGCAGTTACCAGTAAAGTTACCAAAAAAGTAACTTGTAACTGTAACTTCGTTACAAGTAACGAGTTACTTCCATTCCCTGCACACAATACTACCACAATTATAAATGTGGTATACACAATACTATCACAATTATAAAATATTTATTGTTTTATTATACTCTATTCTTAATTTCTTTAAAAAATATCTTGTACTTAATATCTTATACTATGTTCTCTAATTAAAATAAACATATGTCAAGGTCAAGATCGTCGGGGGTGGCTCCCCTTTTCTAGATATTTACCATTTTTAATACAGTTTTAAGTTTAAACATATATTTCACATTTAGTATTAATTATCAGCTAATGTAATTTTAAAATCTAATAATTTTTGGCATTATAAAACAAAAGTAACGAAAAAATAACGAATTGTTACATTTAAGTAACGGTAACGGTAACGACTTACTTTTTTCAAAAAGTAACGATAACGGTAACTCGTTATTTTTTTGAGGTAACAACTCTGACTGATCTCAATAGAATTCACCTCTCTCACTTTCTTCTTTTCTGTGCACCGTAACGCCAGGTTTTAATCTTGCCCGCTGCATTGCGACGCGAGAAAAATGTTATGGGTGCATTTTTTATATGCGGATTGGCATTTTAATATGAACGGCATCGATCTGGTTTCAGGATCCGGCATCAAGGTGCCAATGGCCATTCTGAATTGTCTCTACGCTCGCCAATTATGTTACGAGGATCCGTCGTGCAGCGCCATATTGGAAATTATACCGAGGGTTTGCGGTCCGGAATTAGGTGAGTCAATTTAAACTAGCTCCTTTTCTTAACAATTTGAATCCGAACGGCGAATCATACATCTTTTGATCATCAATTGGAGCCAATTTTGGCTCCTTAACGCGAAAAATCGCGTTTTAGCACAGGTGGGATTGAACTCGGGTCTACAGTTCGCGAGTCAATCGCACCGAGCGGTGAGTCACTCCTGGCTTGTAAATTAATCGTTTATAATACTTTATTTATGCTGCGATATTTATAACCATGCCTATTTCTTGTGTGATTTAAAATATTGATTTAGATTTGAATTAATGATCTTGAAATAGAGACAACCACGGTAGTTAATTGTCAACTTATGTATCATTTATTGAACTTATAAAAGATATAATTTTAAGTTTTTTTTTTGGATGTGTGGAATCAGCTAGATTATTAATTTTGGGCTCCAATTATATCTAATATCTTTCATCAAACTTTTATCAATTTCAAGAATATATTTTGTAACTTACAATGTGCGTAATTATAATATAAATTGTAATAATAATTAATTTAATATAAAATTGTTTCTTATTCTCAAATTTTTATTAAATTCTAAATTCTGAACATTATCTTGCAATTTAATTTAATTCTTTTTTTAAAGGACAGATTTTATCTTTATGATATTCTTTAACAAATCACAATTAGTTGCACACAATATAACATTTTGTTATGTATTAATGTAACGTTATTCTCAACAATCAAAGCTATGGAAAGAAAACATTAATGCGACCAAAACATCTTACTCTTTTCCGTGTAATTTTTATATCTCGATATGTTACTCATCCGGATTATATTAGCAATAATTCACACATGAATCGATAAGTCAAAGAGAGCTTGCTCAAATATGGTAGTCGTAATCGGATAAAATCTAGTCGTTCTGCAAAATAAGAACTGAGGCATTCGCTCTGCATCGATATTATTTATTCTATTTTCATTTATATAATCCATCATCATTCATGCTCCGATCAAATATGGTATCGGTTCTTACTATAGAGAAATAAGATATTTCTATAACATTATCTATTGGTTTACAGGAAAATTCCGGCGAGAGCCTTTTTATAGTTTTTGTAGGTCGCTCAATGCTTAGTTTCGTGCAATATATTATTCATGCATCCCTTGTAATAATCATGGGTCCTAATGGCTCACATATGATTCGTAAAATCTCATATTAGTTCATGTAAAATAAAAGGCGGCCCGCGAGCGCGGCAGCGTCACATTTGAAATTTTACGACGTGGCGGCGGCGTACCGCATTTCCATAAAATTTGCATGCGGATTCCGAAATCCCGAGGAATTTCTTATGGAAACCATGATGACATTAATGTCTAAATTTTGAATTCCATGTGAAAGTGCCACAGAACTCCTGCTAGAAATATCTTGCCAGTAATTTTTATAGTGATGAACATTAATTCATTGAAATTATTTTTACCGTTTTACTTCGTATTTGATGGTGTACACTTTGTGTAGTACTTACGGAGTAAATTTCTGTTTATTCTACTGATATGTGAGAATCTCCTAAGATGTAATTGTGTATCTTCGTAACATTTACCTACAGCTTTACACACCGCATTTAAACTTCTATTGACTACCTTAATATTTTGATATTTTATAGTAAAAGATATATAACTTCGAGAATCCTCTACTTCTAAAGTCTTTTCAATTTCTTTCATCGAATTCACAATGCCACAGTTTTTCCTTGGAATAATTGTGAATCATAACGGATATCGCGAACGGTAGTCTCATATTGGACATTGATAAATAAAAAGTATTGCACGCCGGGCCGTTCTTGAAACAGAAGTAAAAGCCTCAGTAGGTTTTCCGAAGCTAAAAGCTTTCCGAAAGCAGTGCCATTTGTTTTACTTTCGTCCGGGCGATTACATGATAGATTATTCACGTAACTCCTCGGTATCAGAAAGGAGCGCGGAAGCCGCAGCATAAATCACAATGGACGGTGTCTTTATTTTAAAAAGCCGCGTGCGCGCACTCCCACTACGTCGAACAAAATAAAATATATAATGGCGTTCGTGCGCTTCTCTCAACCTCGCTCGAAGGCAGACTGCTTTTTAATGCAACACATGCCATTTTGCATTTTGCACGTCGACGACGAGGTTTGCGAGGACTCCGAGCGTGTTTCTTGCGGCACGACATACAGCGGCATTCCGTTTGCGATTAAGAGATAGGTAGAAGAAAGTGACGACATAACTTCGTGTGAATGAAGCATTATTATTTAAACGTAAATGAGTGGTAATGATCTGAAAAGTTAAAAGTCTATTTTTTAATAAAGTTTTTTAAGTACTCGATAACGTAGTAATTTGTTTTTATCTAATTTTATATCAGACTTGATATCATATGATTACATAAAAGAAAATTTTTGATACTTTTATTTCCACTTTCACAAACCATATTTGTTTGTTACTTAAAAAATTTTAAAAGATTTATTTATAATTTATAATTTTCAGTTACGCGTCTAATTCTCCTCTTGTTTACTTAAAAATATTTCCTCTCTATTTCTCGTACAGTATATTCCAGTAAACTTTTATTTACACTTTATTAATTTATTTTAATTTAATCGATTTTGTGTGTTATGTATAATTTTATTATTTCATTTTATCAGTTTTATTAATTTTATTTTATACATTTTGAAAAATGAGAAATTATTATAAATAGAAATACAAGAACAATTCACGAATTTTTGCTTTCTATTGATAACATGTATTTCCTTGCTGTCAATTTAACAATTAAATAGCTGCTAGATTGCCAGCGTGGCAACAAGATTTAACGGTGTCGAGGATAATTTACAGTTTGCACTACGATCGTCCGTAATGCGATTTCCATTCGGATGCGAGGAAGGAAAAAGATGCGACTGCAGTAGAGTAGAGGGCGACGATAGGAATAACGAGGGAGGGAAGAACGAAGTTGTCGATCGTCTCCTCTCAAGCTGTCCTCGTTTCCTCTCTCTCGTTACGATTGGAGGCGGTGAGGTGCAGAACTCAACTTCGCACCACACCTTTCGATTTCGTCATTGAATTAATCACTCCCACGAGGACAATTATTCCAGGAAAGCTTAAATAAGTCTACCGTCGAGGTTTAAAAATGCTTCTCGGTGCAACGATTGAGCGTAACAACTGTTCCGATTTAACAATTATTTCTTTTTCTTTATTCATTATATATTAACGAGGAAAATGAAAAACGAGAAACGAATTTATTATTTATTGCCTCGGGTAAGATTTCCGTAATAAACAATCCATGCCGTTAAACATGAAATAGCATAGATTCATATCGATGTGAAATACGATGAGTTGCGCATTTTTTCGATAAATAAAATCTAATTATACGCATGCGGGATTATATTACATGCGCAAATAACTTAAAACAAAAATAAATAACTAAATGTTAAGCCGACTATAAATTAATAAATTTTAATTTTCATTATTTCACTTGTTATAGAATAGAACTTAAGTAACATACTTTTAAATCCTTTTTTACTTACGTTTTAAATGATAGAAACGATGATCCTAAAATTATTATTTATGTATAATTCAATGTACTGAAAATAACTATTTTAGCGCGTGGATTGATTAAAAACGTATGACGGAGCATAGTAATTATCATTTTTAACTTTGTTAAAAATACTTCACAGAAAATAAGTTTAACCTTATTTCCGTGGGGTAATGTATTGAAATATTTAAAAAATTCCATCCTTTTTTTCCCGTTTGCTAATGAAAAAATTGGTTCTAACATTGGAGAAACAGAATAAACACAGTGAATTATATTGATCCAACTTGAATTTACAGATTTAAGAGAGAACTTTGAATAACTTTTAGATTTAAAAATAAAGTAAACAGGTTAATTATACTCTTTTTTATTCAAACCTCAAACTTGAGAGTGAAGAATATAATTAACTTGAACTTGTATTAGCAATATCTGAAGGTTTAATCTGCTTTTGATATCTAATAGAATTTTTTCTAAGTGGTTTTTAATTAATTATGTTTAAAAGTTGTAATTAACGAGTTATAAATTTTGCAAATAATAAGTCTTATACTATAGGTACATATTATTCTTGAGTCAATAATGTGTTTACTTAAAATAAGGTACTTATATAATATGTATATACAATTAGGACTTTTCCGAATTTTATTCCGTTTTTTCTTGCAATCTTAATACAAATCTTCGTTGCGACTCTAAATGTTAATCAATCGAGAGAGGTCGAAAAAATGTGTAATTTACATATTTTTGTAACTATTTATTTTCAGTTAAAAATGAAGATAAAGAAACCTCCTCCATGACCTTGACCTTGACATATGTCGTCAAGGTCATGATCTTGACTGACCTTAAGGAAATTTTAACGGTCGATCATTATTCGTTAAAAAATTATTTAAAAAATAACGTTTCTAAAAACAAAAGGGAAAATGGATCTCGTTTCGAATGAAAAGTCATTACAAAATCACGAATTTCTGCTTTTAAAATTGGGGCTTCTCTTATCTTTGCTTTTACCATAAATTAAAAAAAATTAGATAATATACACATTTTTTTACCTCTCCAGTTGATTATTATTGTTAGAGTCGTAAAAGATTGATTTTTATCAAGACTGCAAGAGAAAAAGTATTCGAAGAAACTGTTCCAGTAAATAATTACCAAAGTTAAACTAGAAAGCTAAATTGGAAAATCTAAATATTTTAATTATTTCTATTAGAGTGTGTGTGTGTAAAGAATATATTGATAATTATATTACGTACAGAAATAAACTATAAGAGGCAAAAAGCAAACGACAAGGTAAATGTATGCTAGACCGCGTGACCAAAATTTCGACTAATTTCTCTTGCTAATGACAAAAGCTATTTATACGCGAATTGCAGCGAGCTGTGATAGCATGACCATTCAATTGCACGGAGATATCCGCGTGCAAGAGATCTTCATTTTCTGAATAACGAGATTATCCTACTCGCGAAATTATATTTAGCTTGCTACATATATACGTATATTATGCATT